CGTAACGTAAGTAAACCGTAACTAACCTACCTTACTTCTTCCGTCCCCTCCCTCCCTCCTCTCTCTCTCTCTCTCTCTCTCTCTCTCTCGCGTATTGCTTTATTACCGCTAGAACGATCCGCAGTCTACAGAAGGGGGAAGACAAATATATTTCCACAAGAGTGCACACTGAAGAAACACATTTGCAATGAAAAAACAATTCTGACAAGGAAACCCGTGAGAAGAACATAGTCATCAAAGTATCATTTGGATCCTTCAATTATTCAAATTGTTCCTCTCATTGCTGCACTGTCCCGGCGGAAACACCTCGTTAACCCATTCGAGTGGATCTCGTTTAACATTTTTTCACTTCGCAAAAAATATTATATTTGTTCCTATACTTAATTCTTATTCCTATACTTAATATCGTAAAAACATAAGACATTGCAATTTTAAACTTTTAAAAAATATTTTAATTATGTAGCGTTAATGGGCGTTTGCTTTCCTTGAAATTCCTACGTACAAGTTTAAGAAATATAAAAGATATACTTGTAAGTAACGCGATGAAAATAAAACATTTGACATATTTAAATCAATTTATGAATTTATTTTAACTATCCATAAAAACGTACGCAAACGATATCGTTTATCTTTTAGATAAGAATTCGTGGATTTTATCAATGTATATTTGCATATTTATGTCGACTTTGAAATAATAAGTAAGCGCAGCTTAATTACATTAATGCCATTTGTAACATTAAGAAGAGAAAGAAGAGAACATAAATACATAGATAAGACAGAAAAGGGGAATAAAATTTCGTTGAGACAACGCGATTTAATTTCGTAAGTGCGAACGATAGTAAAAGCTCGCGCTGATAAATAACGCAACGTCGGCGTAGGCGGGGTGTTTCTTTTCGATCGGCCAATTATACTTACCGATACATTTCGCGATTACCTCAACCATCTCCCTCTTTTATTCTTCGTTCGTTTCGTTTCTTTACCTCGATACATCGAGGAGCACAATAATCTATGTTCGTTGCGAACTTTCGCGATTTCTTTCGGTGGACTTCTTAATTCCACCCTCTCGTATCCCGGGGGATAAAAAAAGCGGGAAACGAGTTGCAACGTAAGCAAAAAGAAGTTAGTCGGAAATCTGCAAACTTTCGACGATATCCGTGTACAGGCCGGCGCCCGAAAGCGAAATACTCGAGCGATTGTTGTTGAATACGAGATAATTTCTCTTTTTCTAGCTGTTGCAACAACAACAATCCGACTGGAAGTTTACAGGCACTGTAAAAACGCCTCACAGAAAAATTCCGCTTGCAATTATCGATTACTCAACTTTTTTTTAAGGAAAAATGTTTAATTCTTCTTTTTCCTCGGAAATCATTTAGATATCATTTATTTAACATTTGTAGAAATGATATATATTTTCTTTCTTTTAATTATTTTTTTCTTTCTGTTTAATTATTTAAATTGAATTTATTTATTTGGATTTGTCTTCTAATCGTGATACATTTTAAGAAAGATTTTTTACAAATTTACAAATTTACAAATTTACAAATTTTTTACAAATTTTTTACAAATCTGTGATGTTTGAATTTTCTCCAAATTTTATAAAATTATAATTTTAAAAATCGATTTTGACTCTTAAAATGGAAGTAGTCGTACGTCTGAAATCAGGTGAAACTCAAATTCTCTTGAGGTGAGATTGATTCACGCGATCGAGAAAAGG